GGACAGACACTGCCAGAATGGCCAATTCCTCATTGCTAAGCTGCTGCTCAGCCATCTGCAGGGGACGAGGAAGCATCTGAGAAGTGGGTGTACTGAAGGTTGGAGTCCTGGATTTCTATCCACCTAAGAAAGAAAGAAAGAAAGAAGTAACAGTCAGTGCTAGGAAGGCACACTGAGACTGAAGTCAGCTTTAAAGTTTCAAAGGAACAGAACAAAACGATCCTGCCAGGAGCTGTTGCACTTCTATCACAAGCCTCAATGTATTTTCTCTTCCAGGGCATTCCTTTCTTATCATGACAAAACTTTTGCTTTAATTAGTAGAGAAACAATTGAACAGAGACTCCTATGAGAACTCGATCTCTTCCATAAAGGAGGAATTGCAAACTCAACTGCAGATTTTGGATTCTGTTCTAAGAGTGGAATGAGAGTTGGAAGGTCTCTGAGCATGGACCACCACATTTCTCAGGCTGTAGGTTTATTGCTAGGACTTAGGCCAGAAGAAAAGGAGGTGGAAATTAGGGATATGGTTAGTGAGCATGGTGGTGATGGATTGGTGACTGGACTTGGTGATCTTAGAGGTCTTTCCCAACCTCAATACGTTCTATTATTCTGTGAAATGAACCTGCATCTCTGCTGATGGGGGCCCTGAACACTTTCCCATAAGCAAACTGAAAACAAGCGTTTTTGAGCCCTGATCCTAAGACTAAATAATCATCCTTATATTACACTCCACAATTTCTATGGAAGTTTAGAAATCTGAAGTAAGTTACCCCATGATAGCTGCTGGAATAAGGAGAACGATGGCCCCAAAAAGAAAGGGGAATCCCTTCATGAAGTGCAAGGTGGAAGGGTAGAGGGAGTTGAACACCCCTGTAGCCACAAGTGAGCACAGCCCTTCCACGCAGGCAATAGAGGCAAAGAGTGCACCTGCAAAGATACAAGATGTCAGTGGTGAGAGAGCCACATAACAACACCAACACCGAGATTTCCAGACATGGCACCACAGGAGCTGACCAGGAACGTTATCTATCAGCTGGATTACCAATGCTTCAGAAAGGGTTATCTAAATCTGTTTACTGCCAGGCACATCTTATCGCTTGTTAAACATTAAGTGCAGCAGAGGGCTGCATTTTATAGGCTTAGCATCATAAATCTGGTATCAAGTGTGTACCACCTTCATTCTTCAATAATGCAAGAAATCCAATTTTGCAAAGTCACCCTCGGGTCTATCCCATCTCACTTCCCCCCTCCCTGCCTGCAGAAGCATTTCCACGCAGTGTGTAACACCAAGTGCAAGCCTTTCTAATGAATTCCCAGACAAAAGGCAAACACACTCCTCCTCGGGGTTATCCATGATCTTTCACCATGGTCAATGATATAACCCTCTAACAACGCTAAGTTTCTTCCCACTGTTACTGATCTACAGAGAAAAGTCATGGCCAGGGAAATCACTAATATCCACTTGTTATATAATCCATTTAACTCTTGCTCCTCAAACCCTTTGAAACGAATTGATGAGCGTGAATGCAGTGTTTTCCATCTTGCTTTCTATTTTTTGTCCTCATCTTGAAAATGCAGTGCGCCTAAATGGACGAATATTGACAACTTCAAGCATCACCCTAACCTTGAGGGTGAACGCATCGGCACAGGAGTCCAGAGGAGTTAGGGAAGTACTAACCCACCAAAGCAGTTTGGTTTCAATGTCCCACCAAGGCAAGTGCTTTGGGACATGGCTTCAGTGCACTTAAGGCCAACTCCTTACCCTGCTCCGTCTCACTGACCAGCTTGGAGAGCTTGGCTCTGATAACTGGAGTAGCTGCCATGGACAGGAACATAATCCCATAACCTGTAAGCAAGATATGGTACATTAGGGAAAGCTCAACTGAAGTTGTGTTGAGTTAAAATCATAGAATCACAGATTAAGGTTGGAAAAGATCTCTAAGATCATAGAGTTGAATCACCAACTCATCCCTATCATGCCTGCTAAGCTGTGTTGGTCAGTTGGACTCAATGATCCATATGGATCCCTTCCAGCTTGGGATATCCCATGACTCTGTGATTCTATGATCAACTGGCATCTCCAAGCTACGCCCCCAAGATGCAAGGATTTAAGAGCTCTGAGTCACCTGTAAACATCAGTGCTGTTGTAGTAGCAAGAGAAATCACCACCAGCCCAGCAATATTGGAGATGAGTCCTATCTCTGCCACCCAGGTGTCCTCCAGGCAGAGCTGCAGCAGCCGCAGCCCCCCCAGGCTGCTCAGGTACACCAGGTAGCTGGCAGCTGAGCCGTACCCAATGAGATCCGAGGCCCAGCAGAGAGGGGAGCCAAGTTCATACAAGACGTAGAGGTCTTTGGTTCCGAAATGGACAGTGACAAGAAGAAAGAAAGCCAAAGAGTAGAGGGCAAGCTTCCTCCTTGAACTCAGGTTTTCCGGGGCCGTGTACAGCTTGTACACAGCCTTGTAGTGTTGGAGAGTCAACAGCTTGGCCGCTCTGCGCTGCTTCACCGTTTCCTGCAGACACAGAGCAGCATAGAGGGCAGCGGCGAGGCTGGCGGCGAGCACCAGCCAGAAGGGGTTGATGTAACCCTCAGCTTTACGCCACTGGCCACCACCAAGGCTGGCCACCATGCCTGCCACGCCAAGGCAGGCCTCGAGGATGGCCACGCGGAAGGTGCGGGCTCGCTGGTCGCTGCTATCGGCTATGGAAGCGAAGCAGCCGGCCAGGATCAGGTTGTAGTCCCCCAGGAGACCGCTGACGATGCGCCCTAGGAGCAGGTAAGCAACGTGCAGCCGCAGGTACATGACCAGGAGGTACACGGCCGCCTGCATCGCCATGCCCACCGCCGGCAGTACCAGCACCGGCCGCCGGCCCACGCTGTCGCTCCACGGCCCGAAGAGAGTCACCGAGAACAGCCCCACCAAGAAACCCCCCAGATTGATGTAGAGGTTCCAATGGGCGACCAACGCTTCCACCTCCTGAAAGAAAAACGCACAGTGATGATGGGGAGGCGGGCACGGCCATCCCAACAGCTCCCCGCCGCCCTCCCCCAGCGTTCCCCACCTCCCGCAGCGGCTCGACGGCTCCGCTGCCGTTCCCGCAGCCGTCGGGGCTGCTGCCATTGGGGCCGACGTAACCGCGCTCGGCCCCCAGCCGATCCCATAGGTATTGGGTGGCCAGCGGGCCCTGCAAACCGAGAGCCAGCGTGGCGAGGAAGAGCAGAGGCTCCACGGAGGGAGCGAGGAGGCAGCGGCGGGCGGGGGGCGGCGGTGCGGTGGGGGTGGCGGCGCTGGGGGACTCCGACGGGGCGGCCATGGCTGCGGAGGAACGGGCGGAGAGACCGATAGAGCGGCCCCACCCCCGGCTCCGCCCCATAGATGGGAGTGGGGAGGATCCGAGGGAAGCGCTGCTTTTGCGGGTTTTGGTCCTTCGGGCGTCTTTTTGCGTTGCTGGGAGTCCCTGCTTGTGGGTTTCTGAGCAGTGATTAAAGGTATTTCGATTCCCAGCTTGATGCTGTGCTGATCTTCGAGCTTTAGTCAGCCATTTAGACGCACGAGAACCTGGGAAAATACGTTAGAACCTGGGAAATGGGGTAGTTAGCAACGTGTAATCAGCTTGATTAGTTTTATAGGATCACAGAGTGGTTGGAGTTGGAAGGGACCCCCAGAGGCCATCTGGTCTCAGTGCCTGCAATGCACAGGGACACCCACAGCTCCATCAGTGCTCAGAGCCCTCCAGCCTGACCCCAGGGGCTGCAGGGATGGGCACCACCACCTTTCTGGGCAATATGTACCAATGCCTCACCACCCTTATCCTAAACAACCGTTTCTTTTATCCAATCTAAATCAGGGTTTGGTGCCTCGAAGACCAGATCTGTAAACAAAGAACCAGTGCTTTAAATCAACACTTTCAAAACACAATTCAGAGTATGAGATTAACCCGTTTACAGAAACTGGAGTAGTCCCAAGTTACTGTAAACTGACATCACTCTTTCAACACCACTGAGGGAGTGTTAACCACAGCATCACAGAACCATTCAGGTTGGAAAAGACCTCTCAGATCTCCAAGTCCAAACCCAGCCCACCTCCACCATGCACACATCCCTCAGTGCCACATCTCCACAGCTCTCAAACACCTCCAGGAATGGGGATCCCAGAACTCCATGGGCAACTGTGCCAAAGCATCACCACTCTTTGGAGAAGAAGTTTTTCCTAATACCCACCAGAAGCTTTTGGTGGAGCTACCATCAGATGATCCAAGGTCTTTGTTTCTCTTCTCTCTCTGCCTGACCAAGCTATAAAACAGAGCTGTGACAATTAATACCAATGAAATGGAAACATCACCATTATCTGAAAGCTACACAGGCATGGTCTACCAAATAAAGACACCCAGGTGCCATTAGCAGGATGCTCCCTTTGAAACTAACAGCTTCCACTCAGTTCCTGTCTACTTACAGAATCAAATAATTCACTGTTGGAAGTTTTTGTGCAATTGGGACCAAAATTGCCACCAATTTCCCAGATTTCCCAAGTTCACTTTCAATAATAATAATAATAATAATAATAATAATAATAATAATAATAAATAATAATAATTGCCCTATGAGCTATCACAGCTGTGCCTAAAAAATCTGATAGATAGGAAAGGTGAAAAGCCCATAGCCTGATGCTTGCAGTTTTTGGCATTGTAGCCAAGCCTTGCCCAATGCATTCACACACAACAGGCCAAGTCAGGAGGAGTTATTACTTTCCCTCTTTAGCCCAAGGCATTTCGTATAACATACCGACCTGTTCTGGGTGGCCAGAATCTTCACCCTTTAAACAGAGTAGAAGGAAATTGTTGTGAAGTTTCTGCTCTTTTTTTATGGGAGATGCCTACTGAAAGAAGGCGTGACGAAAGATCAACACTTGCACAAAGTGAAGAACCTCTCAGGATGCTTTTGAAGAACGACTTGGGCGCAAGGAGTTAATCTTCTCCCGGATTTACTGGTTATCAGAAAGGCTGTTGTAAGAAAGTTCTTGATCTGACACTCTTTTGCTGTCCCCTCCCTTCTTTGTTCTCTTCCTTCTTTCTCTGATTACATCCAAAAACAACACCCAGCTGCCAGAGGTCAATGTTTAATATTGCTGTGTGTTTATATAGTCCCCGGGAGCAGCGCTGGGCCTTTCAGCACCGGGCCAGCTCCACCATGGCTCCCTGCTGGCAGGTGGTTCTTGCCTTCAGGAAATACCTGGTCATCATCCTGGTGCCCCTTCTCTTCTTACCACTGCCTTTGGCTGTTCCTACCAAGGTAAGAACCTTTTACACTGTATTTGAGAGCAAAATATCTCCTTAGAGGCGTTCCTTTGAAGAGAACGTGCAAATTTTTACAGGCACTTCATAGAATCACAGCATATCCAGAGCTGGAAGGGATCCATGAATCTAATTTATCTTCTAAGGACCGATTCCAAAAACTGCCTTCTGATTTAATAACATTATCCCATTCATGTCCCCTTTCAGTGTTGGGTATTTTTTCTCATCGTCGCTGCCAGGTAAAAGAGTCACCTCTCACACTCAGATGGATAAGGAAATCTGTTACATCGGGAAACAAAAATACGTGTTTCACTCTTCCTATCATTATTTCCATAATAAACTTAAAAAAAAAAAAAAATTTTTTAAATGTCACGTTTTGAAAGACAGAATGCTTAACATTCCTTCGGAAGAAGTTAATTGCGAAAGCCTGCAGCAGTAGGGCAGGTATTTCTAAGCCATTGATCACCCGGACGCAGCAGTGAGAGCAGGCAGAGTGCCAGCAGTTGGATTAATCTTCACTCTCATTTCTCCTGCTCTCCTCATGCAGACAGATCTAACCTCTGCTCTTCAGGTCTCTCATTCCACTCCCAATCCCCTTTCCCATCACTACTGCTCTTCGAATGCCAAGTCCTACCTTTTCCTTTTGATCCCCGCTGATCCTCAGCTTCTGGTCTCCTTCCCAGTTCTTCTCCATTTTTCACTCTGTCTTTTTTTCTGCAGCCCCTTCTTCCTCACTGCTCTTATTTATTTTTTTTTTTTTCCTGTAGAACTCATTCTTTTCATCAGACCAATGAGTCAGAGAGTTTCTGGAGCTTGGGCCAGAGGGTTGCAAGCACGAACAATGGAGTTGCACTGGTGGGAGGAGAAATGCAGTAACTGATCAGGCATGTCCTCCTCTTCCCTTGCTATGCAAATAAAATAGCTTAAACTGTCACTTAAAAGCTTACTAAAACGACAAACAGAAAATAACAGATTTTTTTTTTTTTTTTTTTTTTTTGCTAATTAACTTTCTGTAGGCCAAAGTTAAAAGAAGTTAAAAGAGATTTGGATCACAAACTTTTTGGAGTATCCAGAAGTAGGAGCGTTGCTTTTCATCTCTCTCTGGGGTTGCTGTTACCAGACAATAAGCCCTTGGTTTTGTCAATCAGTGCCATCCATTGGTGCCATCCATGGGTACATCTTCATAACAATAAAATAAGGAAGAAAAATGGCCATCAAAATTGGAAACTGTCTTCAGAGCTTGGCAGAACCAATAATTAAGGTTACTGCCACTCTCATTCAAGATAAGGCTTAAAAGGCCTTAAATCTCTTCAGGACTCTGTCAGTATTACTCTTCCATCCCTGGTAATGTGCCACCAAGATTGCTTTCCTCCACCATTCCTTGGTTTTAACCTCTGTACTCAAGCCATCACCTTTTCAATCTCTTTTTCTTAATTCTTTAGTCAATAAACATTGGTACGCTTTCATTTGTTCCCTCCATTCTGTGTATTTGGGGTGGACATTCTCAATCCAACAACTTTTTTCTCCCAAATCCTTTGCTCTGACCGCTGCTGGCACCTATTATTTGGCTAGCTCCAAATTAAGGAAGACACTGTTTCCTGCAGTGTCACTTTCCCATGGTTTTTTGTTTTTGTTTTTTTTTCCAGCAGCCCAGCAGTATGCCATGTTGTGACATGGTATTTTGAATCCTTCTGGTGCCCAAGGCTGAGTTAAATAGTCTTATATAAAATTTAGAGTGGTTGTCTGCAGCAAAACCATGTCTGTTTTCTCAGAAAAAAAAAAAAAGATAATGTGAAACATGAGATCATACTTTCTTCAAAGAAATAACTCAAAGTCAATGGAAGATGAAACTGACCCATGACCAGTTTGTCAGCATTTCAAAGTCTGTACTAAGCTAAAAATCTGATTTTAAAAAATAGATAACAGTATTTCCAGTACAAAGAACACAGGCTGCTGAACCTACCAGAGGTTTACCAGGGCCACATCCTGAATTGTGCAGAGGAAAATGTGGGGAAACCTTGACTAGATTGAAGATTACTTCTGCAAATCAAAGACAGAAATGAAAAAAAAAAAACAAAAGAGAAAATACCAGCATCAGCAAAACCAAGATATCTATGCAGGAACTGTCAATACCTTATCATAAAAGGTTCAAAGTCATCTATTTCTTGTCTTCCCCCATCAAAGGTCCCAATCACCCCCCACAGTTTTGACAAGGTTGTTGAGTGGTTTGTCATTGGATTAGGATCTGCAGTTAGGGGGACAGATGGGAGAAAAAGACAGAAAACAACCTTTTCCCAAATCCCTTTATCAGGCAATGTATGTAACAACGGGCTGTTGCCTTCTCAGAGTGTAAGTGAGGTGTAGAGCCCATTCTGACTGCCTGCACTCCCTTCTTTCAGGAGGCCCAGTGTGGTTATGTTATCATCCTGATGGCACTGCTGTGGTGCACGGAAGCTTTGCCGTTGGCTGTCACAGCACTCCTTCCTGTCCTGCTCTTCCCAATGATGAATATCATGGATTCGACAGCAGTAAGACATTGGGGTCTTGTCTGACGTTGGCTTTTAATGGCCATCTCTTATTTGGGTGTTACAGCCAGGGGGATTTCCAGAGGAAAACATTGCACCAATGTTATGCAGAAAATGAACTCTGTTCATGGAATAGAGTCTGCTTGTGCCCAGAGTGGAGCTGCTAATCTGAAACTGAAGCAAATCCGTTGATCAGATGCAACCTATAGTTAGCATACTAAAGACTTTGGGACGAGGTCCCCCCTCAGAAAACACCTTCTTTCTATCCAATGGTTTCTTATCACTGTTCTCTCCCCCTTGCTCCATGCCATAGGTCTGCAGGGAGTATCTGAAGGACACCAATATGCTTTTTATTGGGGGACTGCTGATGGCCATTGCTATAGAGAACTGGAACCTACACAAGCGCGTTGCTCTGCGGGTCTTGCTCATCACTGGTGTCAGACCAGCCCTGTGAGTAACAGCCACAAAAACGACGTGGGATAGAGGATTTCATGGCATTACTTCCTATCAGCGTTGTCTGAAATCAATTCTGAAAAGTCAGGGGTGCTACTGGGCTTGGGCAGGAGCACAGCTTTGGAAAGTCTTCGGCTGAAATATAGCAAATATCTACTCTGTAAATGCTATGTTGATTGCAAGGAGAAAATGGGGGGATGCTTGTTTTGGAAACAACAAGTGTTTGCCAGACTGGAGCTTTAAGCCATGCAGAGGCTACGTTACCCTATTTAATTTGTCCCAGATCATAAGAAGAGGAAATACAGAAGGAAATTACAAAGCAATAGAATGAAAACGCATATAAGATAAAACCCATTTCATCTGACGTATAATCTACATCTCATCTAAAGAATAATTTTGAGACAAATAACAGAGTAATACTGAAACAAGGATTAGAATTTTATATGAGTAAGAAGAGACTCTTAAATGATAAAGGTAGAATAAATCCACAAAAAAAAAAAAAAGAAAGAGATCATTTTCCTTATTGTTTAAACTGATTGCTGGGCATTTTCCAAACCTAGCATTTGTAAACAAAGCTTTGTAACAGAAAAGGGCATGGAAACCCTGAGTTCTGACCCAGCTTCTTCAAACCTGTTTGTTTCAGACTTCTGATGGGTTTCATGCTCGTGACTGCATTCCTGTCCATGTGGATCAGCAATACAGCCACCACTGCCATGATGGTGCCCATAGCACAGGCGGTTCTGGATCAGCTGCACCAGTCAGAAGTGGAATCTGCAGCAGCCAACCAAGTGCTTGAGAACGACAACAAGGCCTTTGAACTGCAAGAAGAGCCAACGAAATCAAACAGCTTCAAAGAAACGGAGGAAAAAGGTGAATGGGCTCTGGGCTCTTTGGGATAGGACGTCCTGATGCCTTTTCACTGGCACAGACGTTGCTACTAAATTCTGAAAAAGGAATTTATCTAAAGCATCCTGACCATTCCTTGCAGCAATTGTGAGGCTCTTCCATGAATCAAAGGCACAGTCAGTTCTACTGACTTGGATGAAGGTCAATAGCTCAATAAAACAACATGTCTAAGCACTGCATTAGCAGAAGACCTCACTCACATTAGGTTTGATATTTCCTCATATATTATGTTAGTTCCACTATAATCTGCTGTGTAACTCGTCAGACAGCGGTCCATCTGAGGGACAGATTCTGGCCTATTTCATGCCTGAAGGTTAGGGATTAAAATGATCTTTCTAATCCAAAGAACGATCTCTCTAATCCAAAGATATATAATCACACAGCAATAACTCTTCAGACTTCATCACATCAACTTCTCCTGAAAAATGGTTATTTTCACTGACAACCAGTAAACATTGACAGAATATCAAAGATTTAACAATGCCAGCCTCCTAAAACAAGGAAATTTGGCTCCTTCAGCTCTGAGTCCATTGTGTCCTAGCCTTCAATTACAGAATTTTACAGACAGAAGATCTTTTCCTACCCAATGTAGCTTCTCTAATCCCCTCATTCCTATCTTGGGACCTAGGTAATAACCATGTTCTGGCAGCTGAGGAAGGCAAAGAGAGAAATGAACACCCTATAGACGAGAAGCACAAGAAACTCTGCAAGGGAATGTCTCTCTCCATTTGTTACGCAGCCAGTATTGGAGGGATTGCAACTCTGACTGGGACAACACCAAATCTGGTGCTGAAGGGACAAGTTGACGAGTAAGTCTAGTTGGATTTGGGAATAGACACCCATTAAGATGCATCTTTCTGCTCCAGCTGACTTCTTGTTCAAACAGAGAAGGAAAATATCAGTTTGCTAACTCTGCAGGGAAGTTGGCTTCTCTTCCTTGGGGAGCCTCAAAACACCTCCTGTTTTTGAATACAGAAGAGACTGCAGAGTTTGGGATGCTGACAGCCCTCTACATTTTGCAGGATCTTTCCCAACAATGACAACGTCATCAACTTTGCCTCTTGGTTCTCTTTTGCTTTTCCCACCATGGTTGTGTTGCTGATTTTGGCCTGGATTTGGCTGCAAATTCTGTACTTGGGCTTTAAGTAAGTACCCTTCTCATACTAGAGCACAGGTCTGTTATTATGTACCCATTACATACTGTACCACGAGTGATTCTTCCATTGATAAGCCTATGCTTGATGTTTACACACCAAGTGGAGAAGCATTCAGACACAAAAGAGACCAGCAGCACTGCACACTGAGTATCTGTTAAAATACTGCAATTTGTTTTTCCAACACCCTGATGAAATCCCAGCAAAATACACTCCATAGCTGGAAACAGGGAGCTCCAGCTGCACACAACCTGTTCTGCTGCATTGCTTTCATGTCCTAGAAGATTGCTGTGCTTCAAACCAGGAAATTGATTTCTGCTGGTAAATTCCCTCATGACGAAAGTTGTGCAGAGCTGCAGGATTAGCACTGTGTCAGCTCCCAGCTCAACACCCCATGCAAACAGCTTTCATTACCACTCTGATACCTGGACCACCACTTTGGTATTATCCTCAACCTCTTTCAATTGGAAAGAGCTTTCTCAATACCTGAAATGGTGTTTCGTTCCTCAAGGTCCTATTTGTAAATCCTCCTTTTCTGTAATTTCAAAAACCTTGGCAACTGTTTGCTTCCTGGCCATCACACAGCGCCAGTCACACTGTTCTTGTCATTATTACCCTGTGTGTATCACACTTTGACAATGAGTTTTTAGGGACAAGAAAGTTTTTTTTTTTTAATCTTGGCAGCAGAGAATACAATACAGTTATCATCTACATCTGTGGCTGCTGATGTCACAACATTATATATATAATTCATATTAACACACATATATATACATAATACAACGTGTCTGACTTACAAAGTTTAGATTCTTAAGACATCTGGCAAATTTCTTTGATATTTCTTGCCCATCTTTTTTTTCTAGTTTTCAGAAGAATTTTGGTTGTGTGAGAGATCCCTCAGCAAAGACCAAGGAGAAACAGGCCTATCAAATTATCAAGGATGAGAACAAGAAATTGGGTTCCATGAAATTTGCAGAGATTGCAGTTCTGGTCCTCTTCACCCTACTGGTACTGCTCTGGTTTACAAGAGACCCTGGTTTCATACCAGGCTGGGCAACAGTTCTCTTCAACAAAAATGGTACAAGGTACTTCTCCTCCTTGCTCTGAGCAAAATTATATCAGGAAACAACTGAATTATAAAGCATAGCCTAGCTTTTCTCTTCCCAAATGATTTCTTTAATGAGGATTCCCTGCTGGTGTATCCTTGCCTAGGCTGTGAATTAATCTAACAGTAGCATTATTTTGGGTAGTCCTGTGTGGCATCAGGATTTGGACTTGATGATCCTTAAGGCTCCCTTCCAATTCGGGATATTCCATGATCATACCAAGTTTAGAAGTAAAATGTGCACTTATTATTGCATTATTCAGTTTCTTCAGTTCCTTATGCACCTAAAACACCACCAATTTTCTGACTGACCCATTGCAGCTTTGTCTCTGATGCTACAGTTGCCATCTTCATTTCACTTCTGCTGTTCGTCATCCCTTCCGAATTTGCTATCAAGAAGCAGACAGGTAAGCTTACTGAAGGCATCAACTGCCAGAACAAGTATGCTGGAAACCTTATGTTTTAGATTCACTAAAGAAATTTCAAATTGCTCTTCCCGTGTAGTTATAGTTTTATGTTTTGGGCATACATTCCATGAAAAGTCCTCTCAGATCTCCAAGTCCAACACCATGCCCACTGACCACGCTCCTCAGTGCCACATCTCCCTGGTTCTAACAGCTCCAGGGATGGGGACTTTCAGTCTCCCAGTGCAGCTGTGCCACTGCATTGCCACTCTTTTGGAGAAATGTTTCCTAATATCCAACCTGAACCATCCCCAGTGCAACCTAAGGCCATTACCTCTCATCCTACCACTAATTATTTGGGAGAAGAGGCCATTCTCTGGATATGTTCCCATTCCTCTAACCCACTCCTACTTTTCATCTACTCTCCTTTGCTTTTTGAATCAATTGCAGGTTATTCATTAATATTTTTGCACATCGAGTTTTAAAATCTCCTCACACACTTTTGGACACCATCCCAAAGCCATGCTGATACAAGGATAGAAATGTCCTTGTATTCCAACTAAGCCTACCTCTCACTGACAAGTACCCCTTTCTTTGGAGAATACAACATACAACCAATTCTTGTTTGGATTGTAGGCAGCAAGACAAAGATCCGAGCGCCTCCAGCTCTCCTGAACTGGAAAGTAGTTCACGAGAAAATGCCATGGAACATCGTGTTCCTGCTGGGAGGTGGCTTTGCCTTGGCCAAAGGCAGTGAGGTAACACTCCTCTGCTTACCTGCTCTCTGTGGGTGTTTTCTCCTCTGCTTTTCACATTTGCTCTCCCAGAACACAAGAGGGCACGCTGGGAGCACCAAACACACGTGGCGGTCGGACAGATTTCATCCTTAGGAGCAGTCCTATAATGAGATGTGTTTTGTAGCCCATGCAAACGACATGCAGCACAATTAACTGTGTTTCTAGAAGAGTGGGTGATTAAGGAAATACCCCATTACACCAAAGATTGTATTAAATGCAATTTAATCAATGTGGCAAGCAGGAGAAGATAACACTTCCAGGATGTGTCTCCCACACGGTCCTTACAGCCTCTACACGCATTTCTGCAGAAAGCAGTTTGTATGAGAAGTTCCATAGGGTAGAATTGATGAGGGAAACATGGTTGGATTGTGATACGGGTACTTCTTCATCAGCCTACTATCCTGACAGGCATTTTTCCTCTGTTCCAGGAATCCGGTCTGTCCGGATGGTTGGGTACCAAACTGACTCCTCTGGAGCATATCCCTCATCCAGCCATTGCGTTCCTGTTGTGTCTCCTTATTGCTACTTTCACTGAGTGTGCCAGCAACGTGGCCACCACCACCCTCTTTCTCCCTATCCTGGCTTCAATGGTGAGTTCAAAATGCCCTTGTAAGGGCAGCTCTCAGGCAGGGGTATGCCCAGTGATGAGAGGTGGCTGGCTGACACCACCAAGCACTGGTTCATGTAATCTGATCAGGAGGCAAGACTTTATAAGCATTCACATACCTATGTATTTATTTAAATTCACACTCACTGAGCGCTCAGTTCAACCTTCCTAAAATCACTGCTGGGGAAAAGTAAAGGGATTAAACTCATTGGCATAGTAGACTTTGCCTTCTGGCCTAAATAATCCCATGAGGTCACTGCCAACTGTACTCATTTTTTTCTTATTTGTTCTGCACAGAGACAGCAGCAGCAGCAGCATTTGTTTCCCTGTAACATTCCATTACTGTATTTCACTCCAACCACTGGCCTTCCAGAAGTCTGAAGACGATAGCATTAGTCAAGCTCTGTGACCTAATTCAGAATTTACCCAGGAAACTCCTGTTGCAATGATAGATGTCATTCTGCAATGCAAAATGGTGGCTCCAGATTGACATCAGAATAAGAACCACCAAAACCTTTTTGCATAGGACACAGGCACCAATAATCCCTAAAATGACCCACTCACTTTCAGAGTTTCCACCAATAATTTAGTTTTCCTCACAATCTATTTGAAGGCACTTTATAATCTTTTCTGGATTTTGAGTCAAATGCAGTCGTTATCTTTAATTTATACCGTAGCAGCGATTCAAAATCCACAATCAGGAACACAAAGCGTTGACCACAAAACCAATTCTTGCTGCTGCTGCACAAAGATGTTGAGTAGAAGTTGCTACAGCAGACCCAACACATGAGTGGTTACAACGTTTGTGAAAGAAATGATTTCTGGCATGGACAAATACAATTAATATTCTGCCAAAAGGTTTCTATGCATTTCTGTGTATCAAAACCATCACCCGTGCTCTCCCTTCTTGCCTAGGCTCAATCTATCTGCCTCAATCCACTCTATGTCATGCTGCCCTGTACACTTTCGGCATCGTTGGCATTCATGCTCCCAGTGGCCACCCCCCCTAACGCCATTGTCTTCTCATACGGACACCTCAAGGTTATAGACATGGTGAGAAAAACACGTTCTTTTCATCGTTTTCATCACTAGTTTTGATCTTTTTTTCTTCCCCTTCCCTAATATTGGTTCTTCTTGAAAGGGCGTTAGAAAACTCACCTTTCTGAAGTCAAATGGAAAGACAAATATAAATGTCTGAATTAGCGGTCCCTCTATATACAGGGGTCCCACTTTATATACTACTAAAATATATATTTACAGCCTTATCAACAAGCTATTGAGCTTCAGGAAAGCATTCAAGACCTCTTGAAGATGTTCCAATGGCAGCTTGCTGTCAGTCAGAAGTGGCAATGTGTAACTGTTCCAAAAGCCCACGTGTAGATACGATCAGGGATGTCAAGGTGTGCAATCTGTATGATCCTTCTGCAGTGACCAAGGCAAAGCCTGCACCTCTCACAAGGCTGCCCTGATGCCCGTTTCTCAGTATGATAAAGAAAGATGGACAAGGAGTCTTGTCTCTAGGTAACTTCTCCAATATATAACACCAGATACCAATACCAGGTTAGAGGAGAAGGTTCTACACAAGCAGATGGAAAGGATTTCAGGACTTCCAGCTTAACAGCTCTATCCAATGGAAACCCAGTTTCCATTCTACAGATTGAGTCTTGTGAACAAAACCAGTTTAAATGTAATTTGATGGAGGTCTGAGGGAGCCAAAGAGGGAAGCCAGAAAAACTAACCATAAAACAAACCTGATCAGCATGGAAGGAAGAAGAGCATTCAGTTCAATTAATAACATTTTTGCTTTGTAATTCCAGGCCAAAGCTGGATTTGTACTCAACATCCTGGGCGTTCTGACAATAAATCTGGCCATCAACACCTGGGCTTCATCCTTGTTCAAGCTGAATACCTACCCATCTTGGGCAAACTCAACGAATTGCTAGTAACACAAGGGAACCAAAAGCTGCACCTATTAGGACCATAACATGAGCAAGACCATCAGTGACCCAAGCTTTGCTGAGGAAGTGGCTAAGAGACAGCTCTATTCTGTGCAAAAGGACTTGCTATCGATGAGGAAAATCAACCCATTGATAAGATGAGGTAACCTCCTGCCTTTCAGCTGTTCCAGATGTTTTCAGATTTTCTGTCTCTGCAGGGGAGCATTTTCTCCAAGCACTACACTGTTTTTCAGGCTCTGCATGTAAAGCCCTAAACCTACAGTGAACGAGAAAGAACTGTGTATATAAAAGGATGGAGAGAGACTCTGTGTACTGACTTCATGCCTGTGTTTGTGTATCAGCACTAATGTGAATATTCACCTACAGGCACCAGTGAATATGTTCCATATGTACATAATGTTGTATACTCTGTGGGCAAGAGATAAATCACTTGCTGTCAGCCTATCCTATGACTTTGAAATGTATATATTTACAGCCCACTCTGCTATGAATGTAGAAGACTGCTTTTATCCTGAAACATCCATTCCGTTGTTATTTAAGCAGCATTACAGTCTGCAATGTCATGGCAGGAATAGAAATATTCCCCAAGAAGAACCTTGTGCCCTAAAGTGTATATGATTAATTAAAGACTACAGTTTTTTATGCTCATGTACAAATATCACTGTAAATACACTTGTCTTCCATGTGTCAATGGCTTGTCTGAGCTTCTTCATGCTAAGTTAGCACAGTTGAATGTGTTACCATTAAAGTCATAATTACTACTAACAGGTTAATTTTCTTGCACTATCAATACCAAGATCTTCCTTTCCAAAGTCCCTAGTATATGTCAATGTTCAATCCCTGTTCTCCTGAACCAACTTTCAGTAGTAGCAAATGTTGCCAGTGACCAAACTGACAAAGATAGTGGATTTCTTTGATGTCTATTGGCATATAATGCACCAACCTGCAGTACTTCCAGATATTAAGACAGTTCTGGTACCTGCTGGGCACTGGTTCCCTTTGTGTTGACAGCTTTCTTGAAACAATTGCTGTGGAAGATCCCAGAAAGGATAATCTGCTGTTAACTCTTCAGAGACGTTGAGAGATAGAATCAATGTTTTGATTTCATTATGTGATAGGGTTCTAACATAGAATCATAGAATCACTCAGCTTGAAATAGAACTCTAAGATCATCTAGCCCAACCACCAACCCATCATAATATCCATTCCATACCATCCATATCCATCAATGCATCACAGTGTCCATAGCACAAGAAGGATGTTATTCTTTTTGGCTAATTGATCTCATTCACATACAGACTTTTTCATCTCACTGTTAATGCATTCACTTTCTTTCCCCCCTTTGCATCTAAATATTTTCACTCTGCTGATCACGATGTGTGAGTGCCCAATAAAACAGCAAACTCTCCTTTCCTCACTCTTTGCCTACAACATCAGGGTAGTGTGCACAGCTCTTGATGGCTTTTTGCTTTCTTTGAAATACTTGCACACTGCTTACACGTCCTCCTAAATTACTGCTTAGCTAAGCAGGATACACTGAATTCATACAACATCTCCCATCAGCCTCTCCTTCCAGCCCTTTAAAACTGTGTTATGGTTCTTTGAAGTCTTTTCCATGTGTCTACATTATTCAGAGGCTGTGGTGTGTATAACGACATGCAGGAACACAGGTGCAATCTTTATGGGCAATCTCAAGACATCAAGTAGCACCTGGTGTCACAGGGCCAGGGCATAATGTGGGTGTTCCATGTTCATTAGTGTGCATGCGTATATAAAGGCTCAGGACTTACCAGAAAACAGCTGCAGCAAATGTTATTCAACAAACATCCCAAAGGATGCAATCTGAGGACAGAGGAGAGAAGCTAACAATAACACCAGGACATGGGGAGAACGGAAAATGTCATTAATAGCATCCCCTTTGAAGTGATGGTAGCACCATTTTCATGCTGGGCAGTTTGTTGCTTTGGGTGTGTCTGAGCCCAGGACCAGTTGAGGTGCATCTAAATATAGTGTGCTTGTGCAAAAAAGCAGTAACACTATTAAAAATGTTCATAATTTTCTAAGCAAAGCAGGTAGAAAGTGTTCCTAAGCCCCATTATTACCCAGATCGCCTTTGAAGGGTGGTTCCCCATTATGTTTCCAGATATTGCCCTCAAGGAGTGGCTCGATTTCCCATTGTGTGATCAAATTTCACAATCTGCTGTGAAACTGCCAGCTCAGCACCTGCAGTTAGATGAGATCCCAATGGAGCTCTTCATTTCAGGGCTGACACTACGTTTGCTTTTACATAAGAGTCGCAAGTGATAAATTTGTTGATGAGAAGGGGACGTCTGCCTTCTTGCCTGCCTTGTCCAAAAAGCAAGTGCACTACAAAACCACAAAATATAGGTTTCCCACAGCAAATGCCAATGAGTAAGTGAGTGACTCGCAGTCACCTCCTCCATTTTCCCTGCAGTTATGGAGCTGTCTTGCCTTGCCTTGCCCAGACACACACATGTACACGGGAGAGAATATGAAGGACTTCTCCCGGTAAACATACAAACTTCTACAACACATGACCACAACAGATGAATTTTAGGCAGGTTAACAAAGCAAGGAAAACAGCTCGCTGGTGAGAAAGGCACTTCATCATCAACATCTCAACAAATTTGTAAAATGGGATGCAAGTGATGCAAGGGTCACTTTTATCAAGCGCTGAAATCATAAAAAGACTTCAAAGAAGAGATGACAGCTTTAAAGCCAGCATGCTTTTTTATGCAGAAGTTGGCTTGGAGAGGCCAAAAAAAATGTGTTTCCAGTCACTTAAAAGACATTAAAAGGACCTTAAAGGACTTGAAATCTTGACGTGTATGTAGATAGAGTCATAGAATAATAGAATCATATGCTTGGGAAAGACCTCTCAGATCTCCAAGGCCAACCCCACCCCACCCCACCATTCCCACTGACCAACCTCTCAGTCCCACACCCCCATGGCCCTGGAACACCTCCAGGGATGGTGAGCCCACCAACCCTCTGGGCAGCTTCTGCCAATGCATCACTTCTCGTATAATGAGCATTAAATGACCTCAAGAAGATGAGAAATTACATATTCAAAAACAAAACACAAGCCAACAGGACAAGAAAACAGTGTAAGGAGCACAGAATTCGCTGGAGGATACAAGAAAGACAGACCTAAATGATACGCTCTACGATACTCTACAATTATATTAAAATATAAACCAAAATTTGTCAACGAGACATCTAAAGACATAATGGAGAGCTACAACGAGGGTGGAATTGGGAATTAAAAGCAACAAAGGAAGAGGTGGAAACTGAAAGTCCAATACCACTGCAGAAATGAAGGGATCGTGTTAATCTGATTGGCAGCAGCATGATGGACACATGGACCTTCCTCCAGAGCTGGAAGAGCAGTTCTGCACTCACCCTTGGGGGTAATTCCTCCCACAGATAACCACGGCACGTTGGCACGTGAGTAAGACCAAATGAGGCTGATTTAGTACAGATGTACATGGAAGCCATCAAGGAAATGTCACAAACCTCAAAGTTGGTGGTGTTTTTTGTTTTTTTTTTTTCCAATATGGAGCCAATAAAACTGTTCACAGCGTGATTCACTGAGCTGTGTGATTTAAGTTAGCAATGAGCAAGGTGCCAAAGCCTGGAAATGAAGTGGTTTGGATGTGCTAATGGCACCATGTCCAAAATAACAGCAGCTTTATAGAACTTAATCACTACTGCCGATGCTGTTTTCCCCTATTAAAGGGGCATTGAATACTATTTATCCTTTGATCATACTAGCAGACCAAAACCATCAAGGTGTTGTCCAGGATATTGGCTTTTGCAACGTGCCATCTAGTGGCTGCATGCCCAGAGGTCCGGAATGAGGCCAACCTTGAGTTGATCTCGATCAGAAAGCATCTAAAGGGAAAGTGATGGAAGAAGTAGAACAATTTCCAAAGGCACTGCAATCACAGCACGGCTGTGAGATTAGAGGTGTGTTAATCAGAAAGAAAACCCTGAAAATAGAGAGAGGAGAATGTTAATTTGGGTGCTCAACACGTGTTGAAGCATTGAATCATTCAGGTTGGAAAAGACAACCGAGATCACCCAGTACAACCAATCATGCATGCGTGATTTGGATCAGACCAAATGCCCCTGCTCCAAGGCTCAGATACTGTATGGCTACGTAAGGTATTTATCTTAATAAAGCATTGGTAGTGACTGCTTTTAGATGGGACTGCACTTTGAGTACCAACATTAATTAAGGTCAACGTCAAAACTTTGTTCCGCTGCAACTTCATACCACTCGGCCAACATTGCCAACCCAGCAACGTTACAGGGATTTCCTCCATCCTCTTGATCCCTGCTCAGTATGAAAAGCAGCATTCCAAAACATCCCCACTACCTTCTACCAGCTGTCACCTGCAACAGCTGCCTCCAGAAGTGAGCCTTCCTGGTCCTTGGAAGGGAGCAGAGAGCCCAAGGACTCCAAACATAATTCATTCTACTGATGATGGAACTCCTCGTTTCTTTCCACAAAGCAAAAGGCAGAGTGGTCAGAGCTGCCCATATGAACATAACGTGGAGATGTGGCACTGAGGGACGTGGTCAGTGGGCAGGGTGGGGGTAGATTGGGGTCGGATTTGGGGATCTGGGAGGTCTTTTCCAACCTGAATGTTTCCGTGGTTCTACGGTTCGTATGGGATTGCAGGGTGTTGGTAGGGCAGGCTGTGTGCAGAAGGGAACACAGCACCGTTAGCTCTATGGCACCAGTTTGCCTGGCTGCCTATCAAGATCTCAGGGAGCACTCAGTGGTTGCTCTGGAGCAGTTTCAAGCAACTGCAAAGGGAAAGCTGCATTTCCCTGTTTGCTGTAGGACTATCCTGATGAGACTTGCCAGAAAACTCAAAAGGATCCTCTTTATTTGCACGATGTCACCTGAAGCAAGCTTGAGTTTTCCTCCTTATTCTTACCTCTGGCAATATCAT